TTGTGGTTGAGGTACAACATATCCTGACTGCAGGTGCAATGTGACCTGTCATCTCATATGCCTAGGGTCAGTCATTCCCTGCCATCAATGACTGTATCCCTTCAAACTGTATGCCAAAACAAACACTTCCTTAAATTGTTTTTGTCAAGTGTTTGATCACAGTGAAAAGCAACTCATTAACTAGGAGTACATGCATGCGTGTGGCGTGCGTTTTCCTTTAGTCTCCTCCTGTGCCTGCAGCTCCACCACACTCAGTCTTCCACTTTTCTGTTTTTTTTCCCTTTCCTCTGGGATTTCATCTGTTCCCAACCTCAGCTGCCACTATACCCTGAAAATTTTTTAAGTTTAATATCCAGCCCACACATCTTCCTCTCCTGGGCTCTGTACCTGAAATTGCAAACACTCCCAGAAATCTCTGTTTGGATGTTCCATACAGAACCTCAGCTCTGCATGTCCCAAACACCAAACCCCATAACCTTTCTGTAGCCCCTTCTTTAGACAATGATGTCCTGTTACATCTAGTGACTAAGCCAGAAGCCCAGTAGTCTTCTCCAACATCTTCCTTATGCCCATATCCAGTGACTAAGTCCTACCTGCTCTCGACCTCTCTGTTCCAGCCTCTCTGGGTCCACCTCCATTGCCTTTACACTGCATACATTTGCCACCTGCACCTTACACTGGAACTGGACTCAACTCCTCAGGTCCTTTCTTCACAATGAACCAGAATTTCTATCCCACTACCCCTCACTAACACCTGTCCTCATAATCCCCCAGACCAAAGTTCTGCTAAATCCCTTCAGTGGTACACAAAGAACTTTCATGTCCTGAAATGCTTCCTCAACAGTCTGAGCACTTCATGCTACCTCTCAAAGTGTCTGAGTCAGATCTCTGAGAGGATCCTGAATCCCCAGCACTCTCTACATCACCTCTCCACTACCCAGGTTTGAGAATTAACTGGCGGGGAAGCCTTCTCTGACCCTTTCCTAGCCCTCCCTGAACCCTCTGTGCAGGATCTTTCTTAGCATCTTAATGTAGCAATGGCCACAGTCACTTGCTTTTCTCACTATCCTGGAAGCACTTTCAATACAGGAACTGTAATGACTGGTATATTGTGGGGCAATAAACGAATTGGGATGAGACCCACTGATGGTAAGGAGCAAAGAGAAGTTCGCTCATAGGTGTAATGTGTTCTAACATCTGTAACTGAATGAGGGATCTCTACCTTCCTTCATCAGTATTCTGACTAAAGAGAAATCAGCATCATCAGCACCAAGGGTCAGCATCTACCTATCTGAAGTATCACTTATCACTTACTACTGTCCAAGGCTCATGTCTCTCACTCATGCCCAAGATGACAACAGTACATAACTGGCCTTGCAGCAATACAAGCTAAAAGGGCATAGGAGGACCCATACTTCTACCAGGTATTGGTTCACATTCTCTCAGTTACCTCAAGGGATCTTCAGAGACAATCTGTAATTCTATGTTCTCCTTCCCTAGAAAAAAACAAAACAACTGTGTACTATAGAACAAATACTAAATAAGAAAGGTGGTTATGGGACTGTGGATAGTGGCTCCTACTTGTAATCCCAGAACTTGGGAGGCTGAGGCAGGAGGCTTATTGATAACTCCAAGTCAGCCTGGAAGGGTTGGGGGAGAAGAACAAGATTATGATAAGGTCACCATTTTATGGAAGCGTAGATCTGGGTGGGGTGCGGGCTGGATTCAGTACTGTAAAATTGGTTTTGCAATAAGCTGTGGTAAATACTTTGCTTCTGGCATGAGGTGTGGACAAAGTGCTACAGGGCAGAAGAGAGCAATGAATTCAGCCTGGAGTTATCAGCAATGTGGCCAGGGAGTAAAGAACTTGAAACCAGGAAAGCAAAGGGGCCCTCTAAATATAAAATTTCATTTCTTCCAAGTCTAGCCTTCCCTTGTACTATATTTAAAAAAATCCATGTTTTATTCCACTGTCTATAAATTCCTCAGCAATCAATCTCCACCTGAAACTCACTATGTAGCCCAAACTGGCCTGGAACTCAGTGGAAACCTTCTGCCTCAGCCTCCCAAGGACTGGGATTAAATTTAAGCCTCCTTAATGTAAACTGGGCATGGTGGTACAGGTTTTAAATCCCAGTATTTTGGAAGCAGAGGCAGGCCAGCCTGGTCTACATAGCTAGTTCCAGGCCAGCTGGGGCCACAGGGAGACCCTGTCTCAAGAAAACCAAAAAACAGAGTTCAAGGCAGGGAGACCTTGTCTCAAAATAAACAAGCAAACAAAACAGAAAAAAAAAAAACCTTCTAATGTAAAGCAGGGTGTGGTGGCACAGGCCTTTAATCCCAACAGAGGAAGAGGCAGGGGGATCTCTGTGAGTTTGAGACCAGTGTGGTCTACATAGTGAGTTCCAAGCCAGCTGGGGCCACAGGGGAACCCTGTCTCAAGAAAACTAAAAAACAAAGAGTTCAAGGCAGTCTAGTGACCAGCCTAGATTGCCTGGAACACATACAGATGCTCAACAATATTTGTTGAATGAGTGGACAATGAGCAGAGGCATTCAGTATTTACTGAATGAGGATGTGGTATGGAGATGTGAAAACGAAAACGCACCATATGCCGAAGAAACATCGAGTTATTGGCTTTGGGCAAGGGAAAGTGTGGACAGATGAGGTTGGAAAGGTTGAGCAAGTACCCGGCGACAGACTCCTAGATCATAATGGGAAAGTAACAGCAACTAAAGATCATTTAAGTAGGGTGTGTTAAGCCTGGAGTTTAGGCACTGGAAAATCAGCTGGGATGTGGGTAGAGGTTGGGTGGTGGTGGGGATTACAGATTGCTTCATCCAAGCAATGGGTAAAGACACTCAGCCAGATGACTGACTAGTACCTGTTATCTCTGCACTCAGGAGGCTGAGGCTTGAGATACACTGCTAGCCTGGACCACATAGGAAATGCCAGGGCAGTCAGATACTTGAGAGTGCTTGAAAAAAAAAGGGGGGGGGGACAGGCTGGCAGAACAACATTGGAAAGGTAGAGAATAAGTAGGTATTTCAGAAGCAAAGCTTCAGAGAGCTGGGTGGGGAGGAACTGGATCTCAGCTAAGCTCTGAGGCAGAAGGTGCTGGTGACTGTGACAAGGAGGAACCCTATGGACATCACAGAAACAGCAATTTTAGGTTGGGCGATGTTGGGTCTGAGGTGTCAGGAAACAGCTTTCTCAGAACCTCCAAGAGTTGTGTCACCACCACTCTGCTCCTCCTACCCTTTCTCTTTCCTGTTGTGAATCATTCCCACAAGTCTAAGTGTGCAGGACTTGTGCACCGTAACTCAGCGTGCTAGGGAACCGCGCCAGTAGACCCCACATTCCCGCAGAAGGAACAGGGATCAGGCCTGGAGGGTCTAGCTGTGAGCACTCCAAGGGGCAGCTCCCTGACAGGAAGGCAGGCAGGCCTGCCGCTGGGCACACACAGGAGCTTCCTGCCTGCGCTGCAGCAGGTGCCCAGGCCAGGGCGCCAGCCCTTCAGGCCTCAGATCAACAGGATGGGACAGCCCAAGCGGAAGGAAGCCTGCGGGGAGGGACATCCCTGCAGACAGAAGCAGGGGCACTGGGTGGAGGGAAGCAGGAAGAGCCGCCTGGGCTGCTGAGCTGGCGCTCCTCCAGCGGATTCAGGGCAGGCAGTGACAGGAGACCATTCAGTCATCTTCCCCCAACCCCCACTCCGAGGCCGCTCTGGCCCTGGCATGGTATTATCATTACTATTGTGCTGGCTGACTTTAGGTATACCAGAAAGAACCATCAAAAGATATTGATGGATTTGACAGATTCTAAAACAATGCCCTCCCATGCCCACTCTGAGCTTATCACGAAAGGATACTTTGCACGATTAGCTCTTCAGTCGTGCAGACTGAGACAGCCCACAGGAGGGGCAGTGACTTTTGCCTCACGGTAGGCTTGTCCAAAGGAGGCGATAAAATCTCTGGTTTGTTTTAAGCCCCGTTATCACTGCCTCCCGCTGCCGCAGCTGCTGTGAGCCCGCACAAACGGTCCAGGGAGCCGGGAGAAAGGGCGCCAAAGAGGAGCCTAGGGCTGACCAGGGGGCCGTGGCCCGCCCGCCGGCTGCTGCACACCGGCGGCTTTGCTTTTAGCTCTGCGAGCGGTGGAGGGTCGGGGCGGGAGGAGGGGAACAGGAATCGGACCCTGACCAGCCCCACTTCCAGGCTCGCTCCGGCAGCAGGCCTCACCCCATCGCCAGCAGCGGTTCCAGGCAGGGCGTGGCGAGGGCCGTGGTCCCGCGGGTGGGGGAGGCGAGATCTTCTTGAAACCGCTTGTAGACTATATTTAAACTTCAACTACACCGAGCTCAAACTCGATTCTGCAAGCCGAGTACCAGCACCCAAGGACAAGAACTCGGGATCTAGGGCTCCCGACCAGTGGCCCGTATGATCGGGGTTTCTTGTGGTTCCCACAACTGGCGGCACAGCCGCCCAGGAGGAGGGACGAGCGGTGTGGGCAGAGGCGGGCCCTGCTGCGGGTGCCGCAGATGGGAGGGCGAGCCAGCGCCCGCCGCCTGGGCGTGGGCGGTGGGTGCGCGAGCAGGTGTCTGTTCCGAGACAGGACTCCCCGCCGTCCCCACCCCGCCGCCCGGTGCTCTCCAGTCCTCCCCAGTCCCCATGGCTTGGCGTGATTTTCAAAACCCAGCAAGTGCTTCGAAGCGCAGCTCGGTCGTTCATCCGACTCCAGCATTCACGCAAGCCAGAAGACCGCGCTTCCAAAGCAAATCTCTCGGCTAGCCAGGAGCTGGCAGTCACCGCCTCCCCCGCCCGCCCGGCGTCCCGCCCACTCCCTGGCGGGCTGAGAGCCCGGCAGAGCGCGAAAGGGACTGGGCGGGGCGGGGCGGAGCTGGCATCCCTCCCCACCCCCCACGTGGGGCCCGGTCCTGCCTATGCTGCCGTGCCGCTGCCGCGCCTCTCAGTGCTGCCCCCGCGGGCGGCACCGCCCCACAGCCTGCGCGGGGGAACCGCAGGCTAGGGGTGGGCGAGGGGCGTCGTGAGTCAGGTGGCCGCGGGAGTTCCCCGGGGCAGGTCCGAGGGAACACGCTGCCCGGGTTGTGTACACGCTCCACTGACACAGCTTCGAGCAGCCGGGCAGCCGCTGATCACGCGTGGCCCCGAGAGCCCATTGGCTGGAGACTCACACACCTTTGCCGCTGATTGGCCGGCTTCAGGCTCCGCCCCCCTCCCCCGCCCGCGGCGCGGGGCAGGCAAAGCAGCTACCTGAATGGGGAGGGGGCAGACAGCGCGGAGCGCGGTGGCGGCGGGATCAACGTCGAGTGTCTCGGAGCGCCAGTCTGTGACTAGGCAGCCGGCAGCCCAGCAGCCAGTCAGCTCGCACTCTGTGGCCAGGCAGCCAACCATGCTCAACTTCGGGGCTTCTCTCCAGCAAGCTTCGGTAAGTCACCTGGGGATGCTGGTCCTTCCCTCCTCGGTATCGGGGCCAGCTGAGGGCCCCCTGACATTAGCCGCGCCTGGGAAACCCAGGCTGCTGCAGTTTTGAAAGGGGCTTCCTGCCTGCAGCCTGTGAACCTCAGCGGGGGCGCGAGTGCTGCGGTGGGGGGGGGGCGTTCGCTAGAGGAAGCCTGGGACCTGGACACCGGGCTGAGCGCTCGTGGTCCCAGGTGTGGTGAGGACGAGGGGCAGTCACGAGGAGAGGGGGAGGGATGGCCGAAGGTACGGGAGTAGTGGTGAGGGGGCTTCCGCCCTGGAAGCGTGGCCAAGGTGGAGGGGGCAGCGTTCAAGAGGAGGGAGTGCCCTGCACCTGGCACGGGGAGCGATGCCCCAGTCTGCACCAGGAACGCGACCTAGGGTGGAAGGGGCGGCTGGGAAGGCGTCTGTCGGAGAGACGAGCCCGCTGGTACTAGGGGGGCTGCCAGGTGGGGAGCGGGCTGCCGGGGCTAGCCCCGGGGCTGGGGGAGGGGGCGGCTGGCGTCGCGCGCGGGGGATGCACCGCACGACACGCGGACTCTGTGGCCACCAAGGGCGTGAGGCGCCCCCACAGACGTCGGGAAGGGACCCCCATCTGCGGCGGAAGCAGGTGGCCGCCTTTGGACGCCTCCCCGGAGGGGACCCGAGGCAGGGAAGCGGGGCCAGACAGATGCGCGGGCGAGCGGGGCCGCGAGACGCGGGGGCCGCGTGTTGAGGCAGGAGCCGTGGGGACCCGCGTCTGTGGGCGCCGCACGTCTGGGAACTCGCGGAGACGGGCGAGTAGGGGCGGGGGCTGCCGGAAGCGGCGGCGGCTGAGGGAGATGGGGTGGGCTGAGGGTCCCGCGGGCCGCGTGGGCGGAGAGCGCCGAAGGCTCGGTCGGCTCCCCTAGGGGCGGAGGGCGGTGGCCCGGGTTCCGCGGGGACCCGGCTCCTCCTCCTCCCTCAGCTGAGGCGGAGGCCCGGGATAGGCGGGCGCCGGGGGAGCTCCTCGTCCCTGAGTGACCCAGCCCCGGCCTCCGCCAGGGGCGGGAGCAAAGCTAGGCCCGGCTGTCGGTTCCTAAGGGAACGGCGGCTCGGGGGAGGGGGAAGGGGCGGGCATCTCCGCAGCCGGCGCCGCCCAGCCCTCCCCGCCGCCGGGCGCGCACTGGCGAGCGGTTGGCGGCGGCGCCCGCGGCCCCTCCCCGCCCGAGAGGAGGCCCGGGCTCAGGAAGTAGGGGAAAGGTGACGGCGCGGCAATTCCCAGTTCACGTTTCCTGCGTCTCCCGGAGCAGCCGCTGATCACGCTTTGTTCACATGCCTCGCCCCCTCCTCCCGCCCCCGCCCTGGGCCGCCCAGCCAATCAGGGTGCGGGCCGCAGGCCGGTTGGCCAATGGCAGGGGCAGAGCCGCGAGGACGTGCGCAAGGCCGGCAGTGCTGCCTGTGACTCACCCGTTAGCCTCGTTGAGGTTAGGGTGGCCCCATCTTTTGGTCCCCACCAGCGAGGATCTCCCCCTCTGGCCTCCTCCCTCTGCCTCCCGCCCGTCCCTCCACCCATTTTCCCTTTCCTGCGTCGCTCCTCGCTCTTTCCTCCCCTCCCTGCTTCCCTTCCCAGCCCTTCTCTGCTCACACACTCCCCCCACTGACCGCCTTTATTATTTTTTTCTTTCTTTGGTGTCTTGAGAAGCTATTTTACACATAGATTCTCCATCCGTTGCAGCTTACATAAATGCACGCGCGGTTATGCAATTACATTTTAGTGGTATTTCAAGAACATTGTTTTCTTAGGATTTCAATTCGAAGACGTCATGCAAATTTTAAAGCAAGCTTTAAGAATATCTCGCAATGAATTTTATTTCGTTTGGTTTTTCTCTTTTTGAGTGAGACTGGCGTCAAACACTATATAGCTAAGATTGGCTGTGGACTCCCGATCCTCCAGTCTCTGCCTCCTAAGTTCTAATGCTTTTGATGATTCTCAAGTCTCTATCAAAAAGAATTTGGGGGTTCAGGGAAAATGGAGATGGTGGGTAAGACTTAATAAGAGCTACTCAAAGAACTTTTAATAAAACATTATTACATAATAGGTTGAAAGAGTTGCACAAACAGAAAGCAGAAACTTGTCATCCAGCAGCTTTTAAAGAAATGAAAACTAACATGTAGACTCTTGTGGTCTTCAATTGTTTGCAGGTCCCCAATACAGCATTTTATGCCTATCCCGTTTCTATTGTATAGCAAACCATTATGTTAAATAGGCCCAGTAAAAGTATATAGTTTGAGACCTGACTAAAAGTAGAACTGGATTTTCCCCTTTAGTGGTTTTGTTTTCACTTTGAGGAGTCACACTTTGCATCCCCAGCTGGCCTGGAATTTGTTGTGTAGACCAGGCTGTCATGGAATTCACAGTGATCCCCCTGTTCTGCTTCTTGAGTGTTGGATCAAAGGCATGGGCAACCACACCTTGCTGTTCTTGTTTTGGGGGATGTGGGTGTCTGTTTTGGTTTTGAGACAAGGTCTTCTTGTAGCCCTAGTTGGCCTGGAATGCGCTGTGTAGAGCAGACTGGCCTCCATGTAGATCCACCGGCCTCTGCTGCCTGGGTGCTAGGTGGCATATGCCACCAGGCCCTGCTGCTGCTGCTGCTTTTCTGGTTTTGAGATAGTCTCTCACTGTGTAGACCATGCTAGCCTCAAACTAACAACGTCCCTCTGCTTCAGCCTTTACAGTCCTGGGATTATAGATGTGAGCTACCCAGCAGGGCTAGTTCTTTTTTCTACGTTTTTCATTTGATTCTTATCATAAGTGATCAAGCCATCAGTTTTAGACTTCAGATAACTTGATACAACTTTAGCTTGGAAATGGTTTATTTTTTTGAGACAGGGTCTCCCTATAGCCCCAGCTGACCTGGAACTTGCTATGTAGACCAGGCTGGCCTTGAACTCAGAGATCCGCTTGCTTTGCCTTCTAAGAACTGGAACTAAAGGCCATGTGCTTTGCTTTTTTAGATCACAGATGTACTTAGAGCTCTGGTTGTGGATCCCTTAATGGTAATAAGATATTCATTTCTTTCCCTTAAAAGGACTTAAAAATTTTATTTTTATGTACATGAATGTTTTGATTGTGTGTATGTAAGTGTACCACGTGTGTACAATGCCCTCAGAGGCTAGGAAGGTATCAGATCCCCTGGAACTGGACTAGCTGCCATGTGGGTGCTGGGAACTGAGTCCGGGTACACAAGAGCAGCCAGTGCTCTTAACTGCTGAGCCATCTCTCCAGACCCAGATTTTTTTTAATTGTACACACCTGTCATTGGATAACAAAAAGTGTGCTGATAAGCTTTAATCTTTATTTTTTCAGGAGGAAAAAATGCAAATGATTTCTGAAAAGCCAAAAGAGACTGTGTATTCCTGGAACAAAACTGCAGAGAAAAGCGATTTTGAGGCTGTTGAAGCACTTATGTCCATGAGCTGCAACTGGAAGTCTGATTTTAAGAAATACCTTGAAAACAGACCTGTCACACCAGCGTCTGATATGTCAGAGGAAGAGAATTTGCTTCCAGGGACGCCTGATTTTCATACAATCCCGGCATTTGTGAGTATCATTGTTTTTGGTCTTTTTGAGACAGGGTCTTCCTGTAGCCCCAGCTGTCCTGGAACTCACTATAGACCTGCCTGCCTCTGCCTCCTGAGTGCTGGGATTAAAGGCATGCGCCATCAAGCCTATCCTGAGTGTCATTCTTAAGTGGGTGTAAATTACAGAATTTCTTAGGCTCTACATAACTCCTTATTTTTCACAATGTATATTTCTTATGTTTCTTTTTAGTGCTTGACTCCACCTTACAGTCCCTCTGACTTTGAACCCTCTCAAGTGTCCAATCTGATGGCACCAGTGCCATCTACTGGCCACTTCAAGTCATTCTCAGACGCTGCTACCAAGCCTCCTATTGCTGCCCCTTTCAAAGAGGAGGAGAAGAACCCACTGGCAGTCCCTGCCCTGCCCAAGGCTCAGGCAACAAGTGTCATCCGTCATACAGCTGATGCCCAGCTGTGCAACCACCGATCCTGCCCTGTGAAAGTATCAAGTGTCCTCAACTATCAGGACAATTCTTTCCGAAGAAGAACCCAGTTGAATGTTGAAGCTTCAAGAAAGGATGTACCCTGTGCAGCCGTGTCACCGAACAGACCCAAGTGTGAACGAAACACAGGGGCCAACAATGATGAGAAAGCAGGTGCTGCACTTTATGACTTTTCTATGCCTTCTTCAGAGACGGTCATTTGTAGGTCTCAGCCAGCACCTGCATCCCCTCTGCAGAAGTCAGTGTTGGTCTCTCCACCTACAGTACCCACTGGGGGAGTGCCACCTATGCCTGTCATCTGCCAGATGGTTCCCCTTCCTGCAAACAACCCTGTTGTGACCACAGTTGTACCCAGCACTCCACCCACCCAGCCACCAGCTGTCTGCCCACCTGTAGTGTTCATGGGCACTCAGGTGCCCAAAGGCACTGTCATGTTTGTGGTACCCCAGCCTGTTGTGCAGAGCCCAAAGCCTCCAGTGGTGAGTCCCAATGGCACCAGACTGTCTCCCATTGCCCCTGCACCTGGGTTCTCACCCTCAGCAGCAAAAGTCACTCCCCAGATTGATTCATCCAGAGTAAGAAGTCACATCTGTGGCCACCCAGGATGCGGCAAGACCTACTTTAAAAGTTCACATCTGAAGGCGCACATGAGAACACATACAGGTACTGAACATAATGCTGTTTGTATGTTGAAGATCAATGTGTGAGTAGTGTTCAAGTGTAGTCACACATATAAAGCTAGCATGTTGAAGAAGTATTTGTCACATAGTTCAGTGGATGATAAAATGTCTTTAAATTTGCTAAACTTAGGGTATAGTGTGTACGCCTTTAGTCCCAGCACTTAGGAGGCAGAGGCAGGCAGATCTCTGAGTTTGAGGCCAGCCTGATCTTCATAGCAAGTTCCAGGCCAGCTGAGGCTACAGGGAAACCCTGTCTCAAAAATACAAAAAAAAAAAAAAAAAAAAAAAAAAAAAAAAAGAAAATATAATAAATAAAACTGCTAAACTTGTGCTCTGGCCTGGTGGCACACACGTGTAATTCCCAGCACTTGGGAGGTGGGGGACAGACAGAGCAATGCATACCTAGTAATAATTTGATAGCCTATTAATTTACTAGCTTTTACTTTTAAACTCTATGTTCACATATACCTTTACATGTAATTTAGAGATTTCCTAAGTGTATACTAACAATCTGGCTTTCTTTGTTGAAGGAGAAAAGCCTTTCAGCTGTAGCTGGAAAGGTTGTGAAAGGAGGTTTGCTCGTTCTGATGAACTGTCCAGACACCGGCGAACCCACACAGGGGAGAAGAAATTTGCCTGCCCTATGTGTGACCGGCGGTTCATGAGAAGTGACCATTTGACCAAGCATGCCCGGCGCCACCTGTCAGCCAAGAAGCTCCCAAACTGGCAAATGGAAGTGAGCAAGTTAAATGACATTGCTCTCCCTCCAACTCCTGCACCCACACAGTGACAGATCAGGTGAAGAATCAGAACTAACTTTGGTCATAGTCAAGAGCCAGTGGTGGTGTCAGAATGCTTCTGCAAGTCTGTGGCCCTCCAGTTGGGGCCAAAGCAGATGCCCCTGGTCTGAGGTAAAGGCCCAGCCTGGGTTAGAGGACAAGTGCTTCGGCCACAGGCAGGCCACAGAAGGGCAGGTTTCCTTTCTTATCTCATGGATGAGAAAGCTTTTATTCTTTTGAATAGTTGTTGAAGGTTTCAGATGAGGTCAGCACAGCACAGATTTCTGGTTTTTGTGCACATTTGGTACTTGATGTTTTTGCAGTTTATACTTGAGACCAACTTTCCAATGTGATTCTTCTAAAGCGCACTGGTTTCAAGAATACAGACTGGAAATTACGGTACAGAGACAGATAGAAAATCCGTTTGGGTTACACAAAGATTGTCATCTTTTCCTAGTTACCTTGTTTATTCCTAGTCTTTCCAGTCAACTTCATGGATGTAGTTATTAAGTATATCTTAACTATCATTTTTACACTATTGTTGGTATTTGAAATTGAACAGCTGTACATTGCTAAGTGGGGGAGCAAAGAATTGAATCCTCATTAATTTAATTGCTTTGAAGAGCAGCTAAACTCTTTGCATTTTTGTTTTGAAAGTTTAACAAATGACTAGGCATTTTTATTATGCTTTGGATTTTAGTTTGCCTGCAGTGTTTTGTGTAGATTTGAAATTGTATACCCAATGTGTTTTCTGTAGACTCTTAAGATACACTGCACTTTGTTTAGGGAAAAATCTGAAGATGAAAATATATTGTAAAGAAGGGATATCAAGAACTTGTGATAACTCCTTGGAAAAGATGGCTTTCGTCATCAGTAAAAGGACCCTTATGTTAATGGAGATACAGGTGTGCGTTATTAAATTAGGAAGCTAGTAACCATGATTCACAGATGGACAATTGTCCTATTTATTTATAGGAATTTTTCAGGGATGTGGAAGTAGGTAGGTAGAGAAATTATTAGAGAATTCACTTTTTCCGACTTGAAAATTATATTTACAACATGTAAAGTCATGTTCTTAGCCTTGCGGTGTTGGGAGCACCTGAGAAAGCATAAGGAGTCCTGAAGTGTCACACTGTGTAGCACCTGAAGTTGTAGGGAGCAAATCCAGGGCCTGTAGATGCTCCACAAGCGCTCCACCACTGAGCTCTATCCCTAGTCTAGAACAGCGATTTTTGTCAACAGTATTTGTTATATTCTGTTGTACAGTGGATGATACACATGGTGGTAAAAGTAAATTGTTAGTGAAAACTGTCACTATACTTTCCCATTTAAAAGTTTTTCTGTATCCTGGGTATAGGTTTCTGCCAAAAACTTGGACCCTTGGAAAAGGTTTTTCTTAAAAAAAAAAATTGTAGGTTACAATTTGCACAGTATTTTTTGTTGTACTTTATATCTTGTTTACAATAAAGAATTCCCTTTGGTATACAGTGTCTTCATTGCATTTATTAAAAACCATTCTCCGCCTCACCTTGACATCAATCACCTGTGCTATCTGGGAACTTAAGGGTCTGAACGTCTATCTCATTCACATGAGAACAGCGGGAGCCTATCTTTCATATAACTCAAAGAACAAAGTTGACAAAGTCTTTGTTGAGATGATATGTGAGCCAACTAGTTTTAAACCATTTTAGAGTTTTTGTTTTGGAGATAGAATGATCCTCCAGCCTCTGCTTCCCAGGTGCTGGAGTTACAAGTGTGAGCCATCACACTCAGGTCATATTTGAGTTTTAAAATATCATATTTTTTTATAATCTCTGGCCCTCAGCAAAGCCTTGTTAAATAGCATTCAGATTAATGAGAACACCACAGTGAACAATTGCAAGCCATGAAACTGCGGGAATGAAGGCTGACATCACCCAGAGCGAGCTGCATACTTCACAAGTTAAATTAACTCAGACTGGGAAGTGACTCCTTAGACACAGTAGATTTACTGGTACTTAGCAGCATGAAAGCCAACTTCCCCTCTGAAGAGAGAAACACTTGGTATGCCCTATGTAGGAGAAAGGAGTGTAATGTAATTTCACAAGGTTACTATTTTAGTTGGCTCAGATATCCCCTTGTCACAGAAACATCAGCAAAGTCCAACTTAACAGTCTGGCTCACTTTTTGAGAATAAAATCTCACTGTAGCCAAGGCTGGCCTAGAACTCATGGGGGGATAGCCCAGGCTCTCAAACTTGGAGCAATTCTTTGGCCTCTGCCTCTGGAGTGCTGAAATTAAGTATGCACCACCATGCCCAACTCATAACCTTTTTCTGCTTAGTGTTTTCCCCACTAGTTTTACCAATCTTACATGAAACTTGCCTGAGGTGGTTATTGTAGGATGCTAATTCCTTCATTATGTATTCACTGAAATCCTATAAGGAGTTTTCTTCACCTACTTACTAATGTCAGTATGAATTTGTGGTTATATATGTCATTCCTTGAGTTATAATAAACGCTCCTTATTCTGTGACTCAGTTGTCCAATGTGGCCCTTGTTAGCTCTGAATAGTCAGCCATTTTTGATTGGCGAGGATAGGAATAATACGATTCAACCTATCTTTTCTTGCTGGAATGAAAAATGTTGGGTATCAGTGACTCCAGGGCTGAAAGTAGAGTCTCACTATGTAGTACAGAATGGCCTTGATCTTGTAATCATCCTATTTCTGCCTACTGAGTGCTGAGCTGCTGTGACTTGATGTTTGGATTTTTGAGACCATCTTGTAGCCAAAACTGAGGAGAGTTTTGTCTGTCTGCTCTGATGGCCACACCCCATACCCCACCCCCACCCCCAGTCTGACCAGTATCTCAGCCCCTCCTTGAGCCGCCCATCTAGGTCTGTCTCTTCCTGCTACCCAGTCTCCACTGGGAAATAGTAAATCTGTGATGTTCTAGATCCATTTCTTTCCCTCTCTTGATTGATGCTATCTTTTTGAGACAGGTAGTCCAGGTTGGCCTTGAATTCCTCATCCTCCTACCTCCACTTCCCAAGTGTGGAGATCACAGGCACACACCATCATATTGATTCCTTTCTGTTTTCTTGAGACTGAGTCTTGCTTTATAGCTCAGGCTGGCCTCTGCTTCCTATGTGCTGGAATTACAGGCATGAACCACCATACCTGGAACAGGGCTGTCTAATAAAAATGTAATGTGAGTCACATGTGTAATTGCAAATTTTCAGCCAGGCATGGTGGGGCCCTTCTGTAATTCCAGCACTGGGGAGGCAAAGGCAGGAGAATCACTGATCAGTCTGATCTATATAGCAAGTTCTGGACTAGTCAGGTCTACGCAGTGAGACCCTGTCTTAAGACAAGCAAATGTTATTTTCTAGTAGCCACATCAAAGAAGTAAACAATGAAAAAAATTAACATTAACCCAATATATCCAAAACATTTCTATACCGAGTCAGTGTAATTGCTAATGATATGTATTACATCTTTTCTGGTACTACTAATACTGGAAATTCACTCTAACATGCTTACGCTTCCTACTTGGGACCAGCCACATCTCAAGGGCTTGGTAGTCACAGGTGGCTCCTAGCTACTGAAGGGCCCTGAGCAAGTCTCGGAGACCTTGTACCATTAGGAGTCTACCAGCCCTGTCCCTTTGACTTCTCTATCCTGTGTCTGTGCCCTGAGCCTTCTTACGTACTACTTCTTGTGTGGACACTTTTCCCTGCCCTTTTCCTTTGACATTTACATTATCATAGTAATCATTACTCTACAGAAATTGCTTAATGTCTATGTTTTTTCCTTGGCTGTAAAGCTCCATGGGGGCAAGGATCCTGTGAGTCTGACTCTCGGCATCTAGCACAGACGGTGCCTAACACATAGCAGGGGCTCAATCAATTTTGCCAAACTGAAAATTGAACCAAGAGGAGGCCTGCACAACTGCAGGGAGGAAGAATCATTAGGAAGCAGACAGAGATAACAGACAAAGGCCCTGGAACGCTGAGGACTGCCTTCTTCCATTAGTCTTTGCTAGTGCTAGAAGGTTCATTTGCTCCACCTTCCAAACTAAAAAGGCTGGGTACGGGTCAGGGGAGACTACTTGCCCAGCATGCGTGAGACCCTGAATTCGATCCCTAACACAACAGAACAAAACCAAGAGTCTCATGGCATGTGGATTCTTTCAATTACAATTTTTTAAAAAACAGGGCAGGGGGCTGGAGAGATGGCTTAGCAGTTAAGAACACTGTTCTTGGAGAAGACGCGGGTTCAAATCCCAGCACCCACATGGCAGCTAACAACTGGCCATAACTCCAGTTCCAGGGGATCTGATGGCCTCTTCTGTCCTCCGTGGGCATTGCACAACACAGGTACACTTACGTACATGCAGGCAATACACATATATACATAAAATAATAAAATATTTTTTAAAAAAAGAAAATGGCAGGGATGCCATCTAATGGAAATGAACACAAAAGGGCTTACATAGGCCCTTCAGGAGAATCAAATTCCTCATCTTGAACTGCTGAGAAATGTCCCCTCAACAATCCCCCAAACCTTTCACTTTGGAAGACATTTAGGATGGGCAGAGACAGTAATAAGGATGTTCATCAAGGGCATGGGGCAGGTGCTAAAGCCTTAGCTATCTTCAAGGCACAGTCCTTCAGAAGGTGAATAGAGAAGTTCTGAAGCTGTCCATGGGGACACAGGTCAGTATGAGGGATGCTCTGGTACCTAAATCCAGTCCTGGTGGTGAAGACCAGACTGAGCTGATTCACTAACAGCTGGGCCTCTTGTCTACCAAAGTAGCAAGGAAGGTGTCAGGGAAAGAGCACTGGTCAACTTGAAAGACCTGGTGTCTTAGGATTCTCTGGGGAAATAAAACTAATAAAACTAACAGAACATTTTATACATGCCAGAACAGCCAGAACACACACAGAGAGAGAGAGAGAGAGAGAGAGAGAGAGAGAGAGAGAGAGAGAGAGAGAGCAAAGAGACTTATTCTAAGGAATTAGTTCCTGTGGTTATAGGGACTGAAGCCTGCAACTGGAGGCCTGGAAGAGTTCATTAGAGTAGTTCTAGCCCAAATGCCAGCTTAAGACTTTTTTGTGGGTCTTGCTTTGTTTGTTTATTTGTTTTTGTTTTTTTTAAGTCTCACATAGCTCAGGCAGGCCTTGAATTCACTATGTAGCTGAGGATGACCTTGAACTTCTAATTTTTCTGCCTTTACTTCCCACATGCTGGGAATACAGATGTGTAGCACCGTACCTGGTTTATTCAGTACTAGGATTTAGTAAACCCAGGCTTTATGTATGTTAGGCAGGCACTCCATCAACTAAGGTATATCCCTAGCCCTTATTTTGTAATAGGATTTTACTTTGTAGCCCAGGTTAACCTGAAACTCATAATCAAGAGTGCTAGGATTTAGTGGCATGAGCCACCACTCCTATCTTCAATTTGAATCCAGAGGTAGGAAAAAAAAAAATGACATAACAGCAGGAGTTTCCCCTTTGGTACTGATTAGCTGAGACCCCACTCGCACTACAGAAGGCAATCTGATTTACTCAGTTCACCCATTCAAGTGTTAAGCTCGTCCATAAATGCCCTTACAGACACACTCAGAATGTTTGCCTAAATATATGGGCATCTTGTGACCCAATCAGCTTGACACACAAAACTAGCCATCATCCTACATGAATTCCAGGACTGGTTATACTGATAATTAGTTTATTGCTTGGAATAAATTTGCTTTATTATTCTGAGTCTTAGTACCCACCTTTAATAATGGGGCTAAATGTGATGCAGCTGCCCTATTCAGTGCCTAGCCAGAAACAAGCTCAAATGAGGTTATGCACATAAAGGTCCTCGAAGACATGACTGGCACTGTTCCAGGATCCATGTCTGGGAACACATGAGTGGCAGTGAATGCATTAGGATGCCCACCTAAGGGTGGCCATCTATTCTGCAAAAGGAAATCCACCTGGATTTGGATGCTTAGAGATTTTTGATCCCACACTTCCACCTTCGTATCTAATTATTTGGGTGACCTGTATACAGTAAATCTCACTGTAATGAGGCCAGTATAATGGGAAGAAAAACACAAAGCAAAAAGCTACGGCCTTTTGCTCAGCCTTGCAAACCTCAGTCATTTGTCATTTGATTAGAAAGCCCAACTCTGGGTAGAGTCACCCCAGATACAGACAGGTGAGCTCATCAGTTTATCCAGTTTCCTTTGCCCTGCTGGTAGTGACCCAAGACTGAATAAATTCTCCATGCAAGCTCATCTAACTCATGACAACTTCCCAGACGCTCCTCAAACATGGGCTACAAATAGCAGGAAGTTATGCCCAGAGCTGTAGGAGTCATAATATCATGAGGACACAGGTCAGTATGAGGGACTAAAACAGCTTTCTCCAAAAGAAATCATCAAGCCACCCCTCTATAGGGTCTACCCCAATAATGTGGCCTCAGACTGAGACAGAATTTCAAAGAATCAC